GGAGAGACTAAGGGACCTGAACCTGTTCAGCCTCCACAAGAGAAGACTGAGGGGGGATCTTGTGGCCTGTTACAAACTGGTCAGGGGGATCAGAAGGCATTGGGGGGGTCACTGTTCCCCTGAGCACAGCCAGGAGTGACCAGGAACAACGGTCACAAGCTAGCAGAGGGTAGATTTAGGCTAGACATCAGAAGACGCTATTTCACGGTCAGGGCGGCTAGGGTCTGGAACCAACTTCCAAGGGAGGTGGTATAGGCTCCTACCCTGGGGGTTTTTAAGAAGAGGTTAGATGAACACCTTGCTGGGGTCGTTTGACCCCAGTACTCTTTCCTGCCATGGCGGGGGGTTGGACTAGATGATCTTCTCAGGTCCCTTCTGACCCTAGAAACTATGAAACTATGAAACTATATTATACGTGGATAGATATAAACAGAATAGTATAGTTAGGTGTTAAGGGTATTATTGATAAGAATGTGTGAGTACTGTGTTTAGTGTCGATATTACTTACCTGTTGTTTGCTATTTGTGTATTTAATAAACCCGTATCATTCATTTATTATCCATGTGTGGGTCCTAATTAATCAACTCACAGACTAATTAGTGGGTAGGCTGGTGGTGACACATATGTCATCTCCCACTCGTTAACAGGCCCAGGGCCAAAAGACCACCCACTATTGTGAGTCGGACTGAGGAGTCAGCCACTTATTGAGTGACCCTAGTTAGGCATTAATTGTTTTCCCTCATAACATTTCCAATACAAAATCCACCATTTTACTTTTATGTTCTGACTCCTGAAGGACTACTTTTGCTATATATACTCTGTGTGTACACACACACACACACACACACGATGAATATTTCCATATCTATATGTCACTGGATTTTATCTGGCTTACCTTCAGAAAGAACTCCAAAACTATACAGGAAGCAAAGGAAAAAATGGAATCTTTTTTTTCACTGGCAGCTTATTTGGTGCATATCTTTGGCACCACTTCTCATAATTGACATTAAGATTCATTTGGACTGGTGATGGCATTTTCCTTAAATTGATGTTAAACACGAAATCACTTAATGTCAATTGATCAATCATTTAATGTAAATGGAGGTTTAGGTATTTATTCTGATTTGTGCCTTGGCAGTATCTTGTGATAGACAGATTTAAAATATACTAAATTATGTGCTGCGTGGTAGAAAAAATGACTTGACTGTTTTACTGAAAAGGAAGAAGGGGATTGATTGAATCTTTTAATGGTGGTAACTGACTTAATCTACCACACAAGAAAAAAAATACTGTCAGACTACTCCCTGCTAAAGAGATGATAATGGGAGCCCGCACTACATATAAGGTATGCATGCCTGAGACTAGACCTTTTTAGGGATTCAGTGTTTCACCGTATAACCCCTGTTTCTAGGACCCTTAAAGACCATGAGAACTTCAGTCCTGTGGTGGTGTTCCTTCTTGGCCTGAACTTGACAGTCACATATGGATTACATGTGAGGAAAGTTCACTATAATTCAACATTGTATTCACAATAACTAAGTCTTATAGTCAAATATAATATCAGTATCCAGTATCTATCCTCCCTCCACTTTATTCTTGAAGTTTTATAAGCTGAGTGTTTTCAAGATGACTTAAGGTACAGAAGTGAGGATGAAATCCTCTCCTAATGTAATTTCAATGACCCAGTTTCATTGTTGAAGTCAGGGGTGATGTGTAGGGGGTGCACGTGCATCCCCTGAGTATGGCGGTGCACCCCCTACAAAAAGGCGTTGCCAACACTGTCGGTGGTGCTTGCGGATGGTCATTGCTTGCCACCCCACTGCCAACACCACTGGTGGCATCTGTGCGCAGTCTGCGATTGCCACTGGCCACTGCCAACACTGCCAGTGGTGCCTCTCTGTGGTCGCTGACCCCTGGTTGGCACTCACCACCCCACCTCCCCCCACCGCTGACAGTGCCAACGGCATCTGTGGAAGCTCCACGCTCCCACCGCCACCAGTACAGCCGTGCCATCCACAGCCACCAGGGGCATGTGTCATTCGTGGTTGAAGTAAATTTGTTGTTCTCATTTGAGTTAAACCAAAGACTAGATTCAATCAGTAGTATTGGCTAGCTCAGATGTGGTCCTCCTGGGATAATCACAACAGGACCACATTTGTGAGAATAGAACAGAATAAGCTGTTCAAATTCTTAGCAATATTTTTCACTTTTGTCTTTTAACATTCTTAGACTCCTTTTGTTCTGCAATATAAACGGTCCTTTATTCCTTTTTCTTAGCCTATGTTTTTTATTCCTTTTTTTACCACTAAGTGTCAGCATTTTTCACAGTTTCTACATTGCTTTGTTTGTAGCAGCAGTTCCCAGACTTTCTCCAGGCATGATCCTATTTACACACCTATAATTTCATGAGAACCCTATACAGAACCCTGGGCCAGCAGTTAGTGAGGATGAGTGCTTGGAGTGTGGGTTTTGTTGTATGGTTTTCTTTTTCTCTCCCTTTTTTTTCCTTTATAGCTTAGGTGTCCTCCAGGGACCAAAGGAGATAAAAATAGAGGCTGAGTCAGCAGTTGTGACCCACATGGGATGTGCCATTTTCATGCTTCTCCTAGAGGTCAAGACCATTTCATCTGCACCAAGTGTAAGCCGTGGTGGAAAAGATTAAAGGCTAGAAGCGTGCATATCTATGTTTCATCAAGGAAAAGGAAGTTATGAGAGGTTGGTACTGGAGAAGCCAAAGGAAAATGAGAAGTGGCAGCATGTGACTATTCAAAGAAGGAGGGCCTCCAGAATAGAAGAGGAGCAGATTGAAATTAGCAACTACTTTCAAGCACTCAGCAGTGTAACAGCTGAGGAAAAGACAGAAGAGAAGACAACTGCAGGCATTATGCAGAGTACTCTGTAGTCTAGAGATCAGAAAATGTAGGGCCTGAGGAATAAGGACACTAGGACCACTGCACCAGGAAGGAAAAGAGTGGTGGTGGCTGGTGACTCCCTTCTGTAGTAGACAGAGGCACTGATTTGTTGTCCAGATTTGAGGGCCCAGGAAATGTGCTGTCTGCCTGAAGTCCAAATTCACAATGTCACAGAGAGACTGTAAAAGCTCATTCATCCTTCAGACCACTACCCTTTCCTGCTTGTCCATGTAGGCACCAGTGATACTGCCAGGAATGACACTGAGCAAATAGAGGTGACTATAAGGCTCTTGGCAGGAGGGTTAAGGAGCTTGGAGCGCAAGTGATATTCTTATCAATCCTTCCTATGGAAGGAAAGGGCCGAGGCAGGGGCCATCATATCCTGGAAGTAAATGTGTGGTTGAGATGATGGTGTCAACATACAGGCTTTGGATTCTTTGACTATGTGTGGATGTTCTGGGGAGGAAGACTTCTATCAAGAGATTGGATTTATCTGATGAGAACTGGAAAGAGCATCTTTGGGCACTGTCTGACCAACCTACTACAGAGAACTTTAGACTAGGTTCCACAGGAGATGGTGACCAAAACCCTCCAGCAACAGAGCTGAATCCAGAAGGGAAAGAACCAGAAGAAACAACTCAGCTCTGGGAAAGGGCTAGAGAGTTACAGGACAGCAACAAGTGGTGCAAAAGGGAAGTGAATAGATCAAGATATATCTGATATATGTTTACAGATGTGAGAAGTATGGGGCATAAACAAGATGAGCTATGAGCTGCAGCCTGTGAAAAGAACTGTGACCTGATTGGTATCACAGCGACCTGGTGGGAGAGCTCTTATGACTGGAATGGCAACATTAAAGGTTACACTTTTGTTTCAGAGGGGCAGGGCTGGGAGAAAAGGTGGTGGTGTTGCCTTGTATGTCAAAGAAACACATATACTTGTTCCCTGATTCAGGAGGAAGAAGACAGCAGAGCAGAATGCATTTGGGTGAAGAAGAAAGGTGAAAGATGCAGCCCCAATATAATGGTGGAGATTTATTATAGGACATGAAATCAGAACAGGAGGTTTCACTCTTCAAGGAGGTGAAAAATCTATCTAAAGCTATGGGATGGAAGACATCAGTTTTCCAGATATCTGCTGAAAGAACAATGTAGCCAAACATCAAATGTTGAGCCAGTTCGTAATTTGTGTGCAAGACAACTTTCTGTTCTTGAAGGTGGAGACTAGGGTATCATCCGTCTTGGATTTTGTCCTGACCAATAGGAAAGAACTGATATGAGGATATGAAGGTGATGGGCAACTTGGGAGGAAGCGATCACAAAATGACAGAATTCCACATTCTGAAACAGGGAAAGCATGAACTTAGGAAAACTAGAATACTAGATTTAAAAAAGATAGATTTCACCCATCTCAAGAAGTCGCCTATGAGCTGTAGTGAGACATGTAATAATAATTATTTGGATAAGGAAGGGGACAAGCTGAAGGATGAAATAACAAAAGACAGAAAGCTTTTGATGCGTCTGAATTAATTCAGATCAGCAGAATCCTTGATAATGTTGTTCATGAAGTTGTGGAAGATGTGTGAGGTACCAGGGGACTGGAAAAAGGCCAGTGTAGTGCCACCATTTAAATGGTGAAAAAGTAAAATAATATTTAATAAACTTTAAAAAGGTGATTTTTTTTCTCTTCAGATGCCACAGAAGTGTATGATTCACATCATAGAATATTTAAAATCTTTAATTTATCATCTACAAGCAGAAAAGTATTCAAATGGTTAGCTGTGGTAAAGGCCAAGCATTTAGAAAATGCACACACCTTATGTATATTTCATTTGAACAGAAGTTAATTGTGTAAGTATATCCAGTCCTCCTAAGTTTTAAGCTAACATCATCATGATACGTTTATAGGTGAATGTAATGTTTGCCTTAGTAAACTATGATGTTAAAAAAGGGTTGTGGACCAGGCTTTCAATAAAAGTAGTGTCAAAAAAAACCCCCAAAAAACAAAATGCAATGACAAAACACCTGATTAGTTTTAAGATAAAACTTGAAAAGTTTATAAATAAAATAAGGTAACATAAGGTAACTCAAGGACTTGACAAGAGGTCCTTTCCTTTCCTATGTCCTATGTTCCTATGATTGAGAGACATAGTTAGCTTAGTTGGGGTCTCTGGCACGCCGGATGGAGGAGCTCCAGGCTGCAGTCCAGAGACTGTGCACCATCAGGGATGGTGAGCGGGAGATTGACTCCTACTGCCAGGCCCTTCTCCCCCTGCAGGTGGAGAGTAGACTAAGGTCTCCTTCCAGGACAAGAGAGGACTTGGGGACCTCCCACTCTGTCCAGCCAAGGGGTTGGACCAAGGTGGTCAGGTGCCCCAAGGCCTGCCGCACCAAGGTCCCCACCCCGCTGAAGCTTTGCAACAGGTATGAACCTCTTGCAGCCCCAGCAGAGCCTGCCAAGCTGCCAGCTCCTGCAGGCAACACAGGCTCAACTGTAGCTACTGCTCCCACTCTCCCTAAGACAAAACACAAAGTATTTGTCATGGGAGACTCCATCCTGAGGGGGACTGAGGGAGCAATCTGCTGCCCTGACCCCTTAGCCCAGGAAGTCTGCTGCTTCCCAGGAGCCCGAATTAGAGACATTGAGGAGAAGATCCCTGAGCTCCGGCCCACTGACCACTACCCTATATTCCTTATCCATGTGGCACAAATGACACGGCTCGGAGCACTTCCAGCTGGGTCATGAAGTGCTACATGGATTTGGGAGTGGGGCTTAAGGGGTTGGGGGTGCATGTGGTGTTTTCATCGATGCTCCCAGTTTCAGGCTATGGACTGAGGAGGGAGAGGAGGATTGAGGTAGTGAACCAAAGGCTGCGGTGCTGGTGTCATTGGGAAGGCTTCAAGTTCCACAGTCCACTCTTTGGTGAGAGAGGCAGTGAGCTGCTGGGAAGGGATGGCTTCCACCTCTCTCCACTGGGGAGGAGGCTTTTCTCAGCCAGACTAGCGGATCTGCTCCACCAGGCTTTAAACTAAGCCCACCAGGAGATGGGGTGACTACTGCCACTGCTGGCCCACTGAGCAACCCTTGCAAAGCCAGCAGGCCAAGGCACTTAAGGGAGCCCACCCCTGCCCCAGCCCTGGAGTGAGCTGTAGGCAAGTCAAAGGCCCCCATAAGGACACTTGCGTGCCTGTACACAAATGCCAGGAGCTTGGGGAATAAACAGGAGGAACTTGTCCTCCTGCTTAGCACAAATAACTATGATGTCATAAGGATAACGGAGACCTGGTAGGACTCCACCCATGACTGTACAGGAGGGATCGAATGGACAAAAGGGGCGGGGGTGTAGCTCTCTATGTCAAGGAAAGCTACGCATCCCTGCAATCTGACATTGGCACCCAGGGTGGATGACTGGAGACCCTCTGGGTTAAAATCCATGGGGAACACAGCACAGGGGACACAATGGTGGGAGCCTACTATAGACCTCCTACCCAGGATCAACAGCTGGACCAGGAGTTCACCAGGGAATTGGCTGAGGCTGCATTCTCCCACTGCATGGTTGTCATGGGAGACTTCAACTACCCAGAAATCTTGTGGGAAGAGCGCTCGGCCAAATCCGAGCGGTTGCAAAGCTTTATCTTATGCATCAGTGATCTCTATCTGACGCAAGAAGGCTATGGGCCAATGAGAGGTAAAGCGCTGCTCAACCTGGTTCTGGCAACGGGGGACGACTTAATCAGTGACCTAACAGTTGAAGGAAAGCTGGGTGACAGTGACCACAAGCTGATCACCTTCACCATCCACCATAAAGCTGGCAAGTCAGTCAGCAATACAGAAGTCCTCAACTTCAGGAAAGCTGACTGACAAACTCAGGAGGCTTGTCAGTGAGGCCCTAAAGGG